AATCCGCCCAGGATTCCTGTCTCCAGTGTGACATCATGGAATCAGAGAATACTGAGCTGGAAGGGACCCCAAAGGATCATCCAGTCCAACACCTCAACAATCCCACCCTGTCCCTGAGAGTGCTGTTTGAGTTGTCCTGGAGCTCTGCAGCCTTGGGGCTGTGCCCATTCCCTGAGGAGCCTGGGCAGTGCCTAAATACCCTCTGGGGGAAGAACCTTTATTCCTGATATCCAGCCTAAACCTCCCCCAACTCGGTCTCAGCCATTTCACAGAGTCACTGGTAACAAGAGCAAAGAGATCAGAAAATCTCAGCAGGGCCCAGGTGGGTTAAGCCAGGCCTGGACCACCAAACTGGCTTAACCAAACCCAAACTGGCACATTCCAGCCAAGAGGGACACAGCACCCAGTCCCCACCAACACCAGGACATGTCCTGCAAGACCATTTTTTGCTGTCCTTTACCCTCTCTGATCAACCAGCCTCCACATAACTCTCCAAAGGGGTTTCTTAGAATGGGAATCAAGCACAAAAGCCCCACAGAAGCCGGTGAAGCAACAAAGCAGCCTTGAGCTGAGCTTTCTGCTGCTCCTGCCGTGGGTGTGAGCTCCATGGAATGACTGGCTGAGAAACACCAGAGAAAGGGCAGCTCTGTACACACAGCCCTGGCCCCACAGCACATCCAGCCCTGCCAGTCCTTCCTCCACGGCTCTGCTGTGCCCTCTGCTCCTGTTGGTGACCACTCTGCACTGTTTTTTCTGTTTTTTCAGGAATCCTACCTGACAACCATCCTCCAAATCTGTGCCCATCCCACCAACACCAACCACGGGATCCTTTCCACAAGCCACCAGGCACTTCCCTTCATCCACTGCCCTGCAGATTTCCTTGGAAACGGTGGCACTGCAGCGTCTCCACTTCGGGAGGAGATCCTGGAAAGCAATCTTCCTCACACCAGGATGCTGGCATGGAAGCAGGCTAAGGAGCCTGGCTTATTGCTTTCCTCACTAAGGGGTTCCTTTCTCAAGCTACTTCTTTTCCCCAAGCTGCCTGACTTTGGCAGAGCACCATTTTCAATATTACATTGCATTAGAGTCCAAATATAGGCAAGTTCTTTTATTTTGCATTATATTCCCTGGGGGACTTCAAAGAATTTCACTATTAAATAAAAGGAATATTTAGAGCTTTATCATTACATCACACACTAGCAATATATATATATTTGACCTGAAATTATTCAGTTTTTCCACCTTGGCAAACTTCACAGCCCCCCCTTGGCTATCCTGTCGTTCCAGCCCAATTAAATGACATTAAACATGTTCAAACCTCTCACATGCCACACTCCTGGCAAGGACAGCAGTGACTCTGCTTGTAAACAGACAGGAAGAAAAAAAAATAATTGTAACTTCCTCTTCAGCACCTGACCAAATGAAACTTTACACCAAATGTAGAATTTCAGGAATTTTAAAGCACTTCATCATAAAGGATGTAAAACTGCAGTCACCACCCTCACAGAAGCATCCTTCAGCTAACACCAGTATTTTGTTGTTATTTACAAAGAATCATTGACAACTGCTCTCATTTATTCATTTCACTGCTGTTCCATTTATAAACGTGCAGATTCATTGACTTTCAATATCCCCTTGATTACAATGAAAAAGGAACAAGAAAAGCCCTACAAAGCCCCAAACCCAGAATTTCTTTGAGCTCAGCTTTAGGGAGTTGATTTCAAGACACAGCACGGGGTTTGCTAATTTTTAAAAGCAGAAACCTGCATCAAAGACAGCACCTTAACAGCAAAATAACTGCATTTGCTATTCGTTTAAGTGTTTCGATATGGAGGAATCTGTCAAAATGCAGGCTGGGTGATCACTCCACCTCTGCCCGGCTGGTGTGAGACTCTCCAGCTGTGGCAGGGAACAATTTCCCCTGGGAAGAAGCAGCACCCATCCCTGGGATACCCACAGCAAGGTGAGATCACACCAGTCAAGCACATTCCTAAAAACTGCATCTTGAGACACCACATTTCACACAACAACTGTGTGAACATCCAGTTTGCAGCTGAGGATGACTGAGGGGATTTTTTTCCAGGGTTTGGGGAAGGAAAGGTTTACACTTTTTCTTTTGTCTGAGTTAACTTTCTACACGTTTCTGGCTTGCAAGACAATCGCTGTGTGTAAAGCAGCTGCATTTAGTTAGAGATTTTTTAAGAGTTTTCAACTCTGAGGTGCTCTTTGGAGTCCCAGCAGCCTGCTGGATTTCTACATCTGTTTCCAAAGAGCAGGATCCAGTGTCACACCTCAGGGAAACTCTTTTTTTTTCCCTTCTCTTTGCCTGCTTAAATCCATACACAAGCTTTAAAACACTCCCCTGCCTAACTCTCATTTGCAACACTTTAAATCCCTGCGAGGACGTAATTAACACGGCAGTTTCAGTAGAAGTTAATTATGGAAACAAAGAAACGATGTCCTGAAGATAATTTGCTGCTACTTCAAGCCACTTTTGTCAAGAAATACAGGGCTACAGCCTCAAACAGTGACATCTAGCCTCATCCTCTTAGAGGCTTAAGGCAACAAAAGCATTTTGTTTGTTTATAAACTCATTCCTGATAGTGACTGAAGCAGCAGCCTGTGACCCAGGGATGAAACAATTAACCACAGGGACTAATCAGGAGCTGTGGAACTTTATCTCACAACTTTCAAGGAAATCAGCAGCACCCCTACAATCTAAAACACAATCTAGAGATCTGCGGGTTTACTCCATGCTTTTAAAATTTTATTTATTTTTTTTTTCCTATTATTCACACCTCTTTCATTGCGACTCCTGACAAAGTTACACGATCTGGAAGAACAATAATAGAGCTGAGCTGGGAATATCCAGCACCACGTACTGCAAAAAATATCCGAGCTGGAGAGTCGCTGTTCCTTAAATTGACATTAACTTTGTGCTTTTATTTGGAACTCTCGGGCCAGCCCTTGAGCACCCTTGGGAAGAGCACAAGTTAAAGGCAGTGAATGTACAAAGCCTTTGGGGTTGTTTTGCTCCCCACAAGGAAAGGTCATGGACAAAAAGGCAGCAGCAGGAGCCAGTGGTCCACATTCTCTTTCTGAACATGTCAGGGTTAAAGGGTAGAGACTGAAGATTCAGTCTGGGCTGGGTTTCTGATACAGTAAATTCTATTTACCCAACCACTACAGTCACCTTAAAGAAATCTATAAAACTTCTTAGAACAGGCTTTTCCTTTGTCTGGTTTTTGGTGTTGGATGTTCAGGTTCCCTTATTCTTCCACAAAACCTAGTTTGGGGGAAAACCTAGTATGTGGTTGAACATGTGATAGATGTCTATCTATAAAAAATAAATAAATCACTTGATCTGCCCATGAATCCACGCTGCAAGCATTTGCCAAAGATATTATTTAAAATACAGGAAATACTTCACTGTGGAAAGTAACTGTACATAATCACAGATCACAGTCCAGGCTGGAAGGGAACTCGAAGGATCACCTGGTCCAGCCTTTTGTGGGAAAAGGAGCCTTGCTGAGATTATCCAGACTCATCTTGGAAACCTCCAGCCACGGGGATCCCACCACATCTCTGGGGTTGTAATTCCAGTGAATTACCATTCTCACTATAAATAAAATGGTTTTTTATATTGAGCTGAAACCCCTCTCAGTGAAACTTGTGCTACATGACCTGTATTGTAATGACTAATTAATATATAATGATTAATAATGACTATATTAATATATGCACGTAAAGGTGAATTCATACTCCAATATAGGTATTTCCCAGCAGAATGCACAGGAAATAAGAAATGGACAGTTTCAGATCCAATGTAATCAGTTGCTTTATTTTAAGGGGTTTTATTTTTCCCTTCCAGGCTCTTTGACACATGCAGAGACACTCCGAAATTATCTGAAAAACCAGGGGGGAAATAGCCTTTTTTTCCCCTTTAAAAAATACAGCTATTTGTTAAACATACACATCATTCCCTGGAGACGTTAGAAAACAACTTTTGAAATTTTTCCCATTGAAATGTCATGAAGAATTCCGAGCCCAAGCTAGAACTCATCCAGCCATTGAATCTGCACCACGAGACTCCTGGGACATCGGGAAGTCATTCCAACACTCCCTCACTCTCATTCCCGGGAATAGCATCCTCAGGGACACGCTGGAACACCGGCACAAATCCAGGCACAGGGGTATGACAAGAGACTTGTATAGGAGGAAATTTTTAAAGGCAGTTATCCCACAGAATTTATAATTTGGGTTAAATTTTGGCTTTTTCATCAACTTTCTCTCTTTGGCGTTCACTTTCTTCACTTCTTTAAATATTAAATACAGGCGTGTTATCAACCAGCACTTCTCAGAGATGGGTTCTGATTGAAGCACCCACCACAAAACACTTTGGAGCAGCCGGAGCTCACGGACATCCAACTCTCAGTGAAATTCTCATGCAGGCGTCCAAAAACACTGCTCACTTTTTACTGACTTGGCCAGAAGGAATCAGTCCTTGCCCAATTCCAGCTATCCCAACTCCAAGCTCCCTTTATGCCTGGGCTATGCTATGTTTTACACATAAATCCCATAAAGCAGAAAGGCTGGAATCAGAACCATGATAAAGCGGCAGGATCGCGGGATAAATATCACTGGCTAAAAGCAAAACGGAGACGCTTTCTTTTGGTCGAAAAGAAACAAACAGATAAATAAACAAACCTTTTTGAGGGATGCAAGAGGGGTGAGATGGCAAAACATGCCCCGAGAGGCGGCTCCAAGGGACAAGTCCCCAGTGCAGTAACACACCTCGGCACCATCAATCACGGACCGCAAAGCGGGACCGCCTGGCAATGGTTACGCACTGGCCCCAACACTTGGAAAGAGCTTTTTTACGAAGCAATTAAACACAAACCGAGCATAAACCCCCGAGCCGGTTAACGGGAGGCTCCCCTCGGTGCCTGCCCGGCTCCTCTCATCGCAGCCGGGACCGCCACCCGCCGTGTCCCCCTTACCTTGCGTGGCGTCCCCGGGCTCGGCGCGGCTGCCCGCTCGCAGCAACAGCAGCAGCGGGAGCAGCAGCGGGAGGCTCCCGTCCGCGCCGCCCGGCTGCTGCATTCCTGAGCCGGCGCTGCTCCCGCATCCACCGCGGGGCCGCCGCTCCTCCGT